CATTCAAGGCCAGGTTGGATGGGGCTCTGAGCAACCTGATCTAGTTAGCGGTGTCCCTGCTCACTGCAGGGGGGTTGGACTAGATGACCTCTAGGAGTCCCTTCCAACCCAAAACATTGTATGATTCCATGATTCTACCTCTGCTATGAGGAAAGGCTGAGAGAGTTGGGCTTGTTTAGCCTGGAGAAGACTGAGATCTCATAAACACTTACAAATGTCTTAAGGGTGGATGTCATGAGGACGGAGCCAGACTCTTTGCAGTGGTGCCCAGCGACAGGACAAGGGGCAATGGGCACAAACTGAAACATAAGAGGTTTCAGTTGAACATGAGGAAGAACTTCTTTACTTTGAGGGTGACGGAGCACTGGACCAGGCTGCCCAGGGGGGTTGTGGAGTCTCCTTCTCTGGAGATATTCAAAGCCCATCTGGATGATGTCCTGTGCAACCTGCTCTAGGTGAACCTGCTTTAGGGGAGTTGGACTAGATGATCTCCTGAGGTCCCTTCCAACCTTTGCCATTCTGTGATTGCACTTAAGACGAGCTATTGAAGAGTTTTTCCCCGTGAGGCATTACGCGTGGTATGGGACATCCCTACGCGTAAAACCTCTCTGCACTGCAGCTCTGCTGAAGTAAATACTGCTCTGTAATCACTGGCATGTTAAAGAGGGCTTTAAGGGGGTCCTTACACCGTAGCAGACATGTCACAGTCTTTATAGGTAAAAACCTTGTTTTGCTTTGTAGTGAGTGTATTTTGACAAAATTGTAGATTGTACTAAGCTGCAACTAATTACAGCAAATGCATCTATGTGGCTATAGCCAAGAAGATTAAGAGAAATCCCTTTACTTATATTTGAATGCCTTTGATTTTAGAACTAAGAAAGAGATTAAAATAGAGGGATTTTATTTTGCAAGGAAGTCCTAGGAGCTTTGGTGTAACATGCTAAAAAAGCAGTGCAAGTGGCAGCTGAGTATCTGGAGCAACATTTTAGCTGACCAGTACTGGAATGTTCTTTATTTGCAGTTTAGGAGCAAAACGTTAGAATATCTGTTTTCTTGTTTCCCAAACTTTAAGCCTTAGTCATAGCTGGCATCAAAGAATAATAGGGCTGGGAGAAACTTCCAAGAAACCATCTATTGTGTTTCTTCATTCCAAGCCAGGATCAACTATGTATGTCATTCCCAGCAGATGTTTGCCTTCTTATTCTGCCAAGTATGGAGACTCTGCCTCATCTTTAGGTAATTATTTCAGTGCTGATGTCCTCTCCTTCAGAATTTTTGTTCCTAATGCCTAAATTACTAAAAATTCATTACTCTTTTAAAAGGATAAGAGTTTTCACTTTTTCCCTAGGACTTACTTTCTTCTCGTCGTCTCTCAATAGCTCCATTCTCTGCCTTTCACCAAAAAGAGGATTGGATTAATATTTTTTTGCTAAATCACTTCTTTTGTCTTTGCTTCTTAAATAGGAGCCTTGTCATCACAATTTACTGCTTGGAGTCTAATTGTCTAGTGGGTTTGTTTTGGTTAGCTAACCATAGTTTAGTTAGTAACCGTATCGTGTTTTTATTTAGAGGCTGAAATGTAGGGTATTTTAAATTTTAAACCAATAGCAAAGCTCCTCACTATATCAAAGAATTGGGGATGACTTTAAACTTGGCTTCTGTTGAACAGCTTAAAAAACAATGCTGCAGTGGAAATTCTTTCTGTTCTGTGACTCACGTCAGCACTGTCATGCAACCACAACTGGAAACAGGCTAACGCAGCTTCAGGTGGCTTTTTGTGACTCCTTTTTCTTTATTTTTGAGATGATCGTAACACATGCATGTCTAAATAAACAAGAAGGGGGACCACAGTGTTTCTTTAGCTGTATAGTAGGACAGGTTGCTTCCCTGCATGGATTCTTAAAGCTAGGACTGAAAGACATCCATTTTCAAATTAGAAATTGCCATTGACAACAGCCCACAACGCTGATTATTTGCTCTAGTGTTTCACTACGCCTTTTTTCAATAACTGTACTTTGCACCTAACATGGATTTGTTTTTGCCTTAAGCTGTAATTACATGGTTTTGTCAGTCTTTGTGATTAGATCCAGCCCAGATTACTGAGGTAATTAGTTTCTAATTGTATTGACACAAGAGGTAAGCTGAAAAATGAAGATGAGGAGGGGAAACAGTACATAATCAAGGCAAAGGGCTGAATTAGTTTTTCTCAAAACCTCTTCAAGTTGGAAACACAGTGGGGAAACTGAGATTCTCGTGTATAAACATATGTTTACCGAAATGCATTTAACTACAGGAAAATTTATTGTGAAATTTTCAAAATACCTCTAATTAAGAAAGCAAGCTGCCTATTGTAATGCTTTGTAACAGAAACTTGAGAGCTTTTCAGTTCTTCAGAAGAGGTTTTTCCGCTCACGGAGTATATGGCACTGCATTGCCAGTAGGTGGCATGTGCCCTGCATCCACGGTTACCTCTTGCATTCCGAAGAATTTCAAAGAGAACAAGCTTAACAGCGAAGTTACCTTGTGTAGAAGTACACAACCGTTGAAAGAGTCCGTTTGCTCTGCTGCTGGTGCTTTGTTGCAGGTTGCTGCACTGTCTCTCAGCAACTGATCGTGCATCTCAATTCGTGAGGGTTTTTTTCCCCACATTCCTCAATGTTTGTGCTAAAATTCTCACTGGAATTCTCTTCTGGAAAGCTAGTGGATTATTTTTGTTAAATATAAAGTACTAATTCTTAAACTAGACAAATCTAGAGCCCGCAGCGTGAAGCTAACCTTGCAGTAAGCTGAATATGCATCTGAGCTATATGTGCTTGTGTCCCGGGTTCTTGGTCAAGCTGGTATGGACAGTGTTGGACTGACATCCTCTGTCCAGAGCTTTTCTTTTTTTCTTTTTTTTTTCCCCCAAAGTTTTGTACCTTGCATTTGCAGCTAGAATATAACAGGGGATGTGTGCGTGTGTATATATGTACACCACTTTGCAAGATTTTATATGTGTATGTGCTACCCATAGTGTTAAGCTTCAGACCATTGATAAAAGTTGAAGGCAGTTCCAAGAGGATGTGGAATCAGAAATCCTTGTCTGGGTTTTGAATAGCTATCGCTGAGGAGGAAGAGCCCTCACCTTACACTGTGCTCTGTTTCTTAGGTAATAACAAAGCTTGCAGGCATGGAAGAAGAAGAACTTTCATTTTCATCCAAAGAAGAACAGCAGCAGCTTCTCCAGAAAGTCCTGCAAGCATCTGACCTGGATGCTGAGGAGGAAGTGGTTGCTGGAGAATACGGTTCAAAGTCAGCTCAGGTAACGAAGAATGCTTTGGAAAGGATGAACACAAAAGCGACAGAACTGGACCGTTCCATTTTAATTCTGAATGTGCTGCCATCACGGCTGCCCTAGTATCTTTGTGAAACATTGGAGAACAGATTTATTTTTTAAGCTGCATTAGCACTTAGCTATTTGAGCAATTCACTTGTTGGGCACTAGAAAGAAGTTAGGCATAGAATTCATGTCCTTCTCCATCACATTTGAGGGAGAAGATGACAGATCTATTGTTACAGATTTTGAAGAAAATCTGTCACAATCAATGAAAGTATTTTAAAACACACGTCTTCAGAGCACATAGTCTTTTGTGGTGGCACTGTGCTCCTTGAGTCATGCCCTGATTTCCTCATGCCCAGAGGGCAGAAGCGTACGGGCCACTTTGGTTCATTTTCAAGAGAAGTACTGTTATTGTAGGCAGTAGTATGACATTTTCGGAAACAGATATAAGAAAAATAAATAGCCTGAAACATTTATTGATCCATAAGCCAAAATCAAGCTACAACGTGGTAACTAAATTTTTTAGGGTTAATTTTTAGCTAAATGGCACTGTGCTGAAATGCATTAGGAATTCCCACTCTAGGGTATCTTTCCATATGAAACTGTACGTACGTTCGTATACTGCTGGTGAGTGGCAGGCAGTGACTTTCTTTGTAGAAATTCTTCTTAAGAAGAAGAACTTCGAAGGCTGTTTGGCACTAAGGTCACTGAATGGAGAGTGCTGCCCAGTACCCAGAGGGCATCAGTAGGTGAGAGTCGGTCTGTCTAATCACACACTAAGCACATGTTTTCTCTCCCCTTACTTGCAGGTGTCGCGTCGTACGGGCACAATGAGCTCTATGTCGGGAGCAGATGATACAGTTTACATGGAATACCACTCTTCACGGAGTAAGGCATCTTCAAATAAACACATCCATCCGCTATTTAAACGCTTCCGGAAATGATGTCCTCCTCCTGTGTGTTTTGTTAGAACTGTGGATCCATGTACCTGTTTCCATAACTAAAAATATGGAGCTGAAATTTCTCACAGGTCCTTTAAAAGACTTCTTTTATATGCATCTATATAGCCACATATTTACTTAGCAATATATGTGCTCTCATGGGTGAGTGTGAAAGGAAAAAAAGGAACTAAATCTTACCACAGGAAAGATATTATCCAGTGACTGGATCCTGGTTATACCTGTCTGGTTTTCAGGGTAATTAATAGAATTTATTTTTATCAGCTGAAGATCCTTTTTCAGAAGAATTCTGGAAAGGTTTTGTAAATGAAGTTTGTACTGATGTTTGAAATATTATTTATCTGATTATTGTGTCTGCTCAACAAAATATTGTTTTTTAAAATGCTTAAATAAAAATCATTCATTGAGCTGAACAAATCCTGATAGGAGCACTTTACATAGTATTTTTAAACTGGGAGCTAATTTATACTTATGACTGTCTTAAAATTCTAACAAATTGTTTGGAAATATTTTGAAGTTCGAAGACAAGGAGAAAGAGGGACTCTGTCTCCAAAGTAAACTCAAGGAATGCATTAGTAAATACAAATAAATCCTGTGCTCCGTTTTCCTCATTTTTCTTGCTACTGTTGAGAAGTTGCTGAAATAAAAGCTGTTTCCCTTGTCATTTATATTTTATTTATTAACCATGCAATAAAACCATCATAACGGCTAAACAGTGCAATGTCACTACACAAGTCATTAAATCAAAAAGCGTTTTGACTTGGTGAATTGGCAGCTGAGGTGTGAAGGAAAGATTCCCGAGTTTGGGGGGCTTTATTGTTAATGAAGACTGCAGTGTATTTCTAGAAGATTTGAGGAGAGGCGGTGGTGGTTTGTGGAGAAGAATGCTTTTTAAAGAACATCTGCTTACTATCACAATGGTTATGCTACTTGGTATTGTATTACGGGGTGGGGTTTTTTTGCTGAGAGTTTGTCGAGCTTTAGGAACAACCTGTGAAATAACATCGATCTTCATCTGTTGGTTCAAAATAGGTTAGTATAAATCCTTCCCAGACTGGAAGGAGCATGTATGGTAGAGCTATCGTGGTTATACGACAAATGTGCTTCAGAAAAATATCCATTCTGTTTCTTATTAGCATAAATTCCTAAATTGAGAATATAGAAATGCTGGAAGCATGATTCACAACACATGGGCTTGTTCAGTCTGCCTCAGAGTCAGGTAATTTTGAAAATGGAACTGATCTAGTTCAGTTTAAGCTTTGTTCCAGCCCTACTCCATAAAGCATGGCTCTTTGTCTTGTTCTGAGTCTTCTGCCTCACAAACTGGGACCGGCCATGACAGGGCTTGAGTGGCTTATATGGAAGAGATGAATGTGCTGTATCATGCTGCTGATTTCCTCTCCCCACTTTTAAAGCGTTATTTACTTCTAATAGTAGTTTGGACCAGCTCTTGAGGCAACAGTTAGTGGAAAAACGATAATTTAGTGTAATGGGAGGGGTCTGTGACAATGGCATAGCTGAGCCAGGCAGCCAGCGTCCCCCTGCGTAATTCTAACGTGCTTTATGAACTGCTTTGGAACTATTCTCCACTCTTCATAAACTTGGGGGGGAAAAAACCCCAAGTCTATGATGACTAATGATCTTACTCTTCTAAGTAATGGGTCTGTGTGGGATGCAGTACGCTCAGCATCAAGTAAAGCATAATAATTTTACAAGGTAAGAATGACTCCATGCTTCAGCGATAGTGTGTTAGTATTCAAACTTTAGATTTAATTACTTTGATATGACTACTGCAGTAATTACTTCCTGCTATTGCTCCAGACTGTAGCTGCAAGCGGCAGGCTGGTACGCATTTACTCGCTACAAAAGGGTTGCTGGTACAAAAGCATGGTAGCTTCTGTGCTGGTGTACGGTCAGCCGATTCCGCTTTTCAGGCAGGGGCCAGTCACCACCAAACACGGCTGGTTCCTGGGGCTTCTGTGGTACTGGCCCCTCACGGCTCCCACCCGCTGGCAGCGCTCAAAGCTACGACTCCTCGCCCGACGGTCACAACGGGCCACTCCAGAATTAGTTGGAATCCCAGCCCTCTGGGAAACCAAATTGGCTTGTTCAGCCACAAAACTCAGCACTGTGTTTTGTCGGGTGGGTGTCTTTGTTTGCAGCAGTACTGTAGGCTGCAGTTACAGAATCACAGAATTGTTTAGGTTGGAAAAGACCTTTTAAGATCATCAAGTCCAACTGTTACCCCTGCCATCCCACCACTAAGCCATGTCCCTAAGCACCTCGTCTACCCATCTTTGAAATACCTCCAGGGATAGGGATTCAACCGCTTCCCTGGGCAGCCCAGTTCCAGTGCTTGACAACCCTTTCACTAAAAAAATTTTTCCTGATGTCCAATCTAATCCTCCCCTGGTGCAACTTGAGGTGACTTCCCCTTGTCCTGTCGCCCATTACCTGGTAGAAAAGTCAGGGACATGCAGTCGTAATGCTTCACTGCAAGCAGGCAGTGCGTGGTGGGCTCCCACTGCCCTGGAGCCTGAATCCAAAGAATCTGGGCCCCAGCTCTCCTGAAGCGCAGCCAGGTCCTTGCATGCTTTATCAGTCGCTCGTGTTGGCCAATGCTGTGCTTGCACAAGTGGACAGCGAGATCCCTTGCTCAGTAGGCTGTGGGAACAACATGGCTGAGAGCTCCATGCTTGCCTTGACATTGGTGCATGTGAAGAAACTCTGGCATTCTGCGGCTGCACTGCTGCATACGTACCCTTCCGAGATGCTGCCTTTGTTCCCAAGGGGAGTGTGCTTGCACAACACCGCGCGTTTCCTAGCAGCAGCAAGGTGCAGTGCAGTTCAGGGATCCAGATGACTTGCAAACGAACAGTGATAGCTAGATGATTACCCAGAAGAAAAATTGTTTGCTCTATGACTCTCACTAAACCGGGGGCAAAATAACATGGATTGGTGTGGTAAAGCTGTGTTTCAAGCCACGTGCGACAGCAGAGGGCAGGTGAACTTTGGGGTAAGTACATTATTTCTTGGAAGTCTGGACAGAGGAGGTGTGATTTTCTTGGACGTAATTCAGGTTTCCTTGCTGAAAGAAAAGCTTTTACTCTGCTCCCTGGCCACCTCCTTAGGCTGAATTCCATACCGAGGAAACTTCTTGAGCAATTGTCATTTTCAATAGTTCTTTTTTTTGTGTTTCTGACAGGCTACAATACCGAAACTTGTGTTTACGTGCTCTTCATCCTTGTGGCAAACCAGCAAGTGTCTGTGAAGACATCAGTGCTTGAAGGACACCGTTGTTACTCATTAAATGGGCATGGTGACATTGGGGGTGGCAGTTTCAGCAGCATTTCAGCTTGGCAAAGCACTGAACTGCACTCAGGTTCTGTTCCTCTGGTTCCTTACGCCCTCCCAATGGTTATAATTTTTAATCGTGCCTTTTTTCTAGTGTGTTTAAAAACTCGGGACTTCAAGGTAAGTAGTTCTCAGGATAATTTAATGTGGCACGCGGAAAGAAGCACAGGATAAGGATCTAAACCTGCTACAAAAAGTCTACGCATAGAGCTGGCTTCTCTGTTGTAGTCGATTCGTGGGGTTTTTGTTGAGCACTAAAGAGTAGATCATGCAGAAGTGCTGCCGACACCTGGGACTGGCTAGCTTGCTCTGATTTAAATATCTTCCTTTTGTACAATACTCGATTAAGATTTTAATTGTTGTCATACGGTAGACGAAACCAAACACTGAGAAGCCATTTTCATTTTTCTTCTAAACTAAAGCTGCTTCAGTAGTAAATTACCAATAAGCTCTGTCCTCACCTCGTTGCCTGCTAAGTTCAATTTTGTCCCCTTTTCAGGAATAAAGCATGGGAATTTAGAAAGCATTTAAAATTCCAAAGAAGTAACTTCACAGCTTGAAAAGATCTTTTGGAAGATGGGTTTGAAGACAGTCAGAAAAGGCAAAAATCACAACTAACTCCATGGATTTTTCGGTGAAGAGATGTTTCAAACTACACTGAAAATTTTTGCTGACATTTCAACACTCTTTTTCAGCCTTTCTTCCGTGCAAATGTTCTGAAGAGCCTATCTGCCCAGTCATAGCTGAAGGTGTCACTTGGGCAGAGCTAAATGCCTCCGATCAAATCTCTTTTACTTCCATAAATTACACTTTAAACAGTTACGTAAAACAGCCAGTATAATATTTATCATACTGTACATCATAAAATAATGTTGGAATATCTACAGGCCAGATATAACCAAGTCTGTTAAAAAGTGAGACTAATTCTAAGAAAACAGAATTCCTGGTAAGATGGTAATGTAACCATTGACTCTGAATACTGATGCTATTGGGAGACAGAGAAAGCTTCAACTGAACTCTTGTCAGAGTTTGTGCAAAGAGGAGGGCATGTTTAAATTGGATTTAGAAATAACTAAGTGAAGGTAACAAAGTACAATTAATATGACCCCATGAGGGGGTCTAGACTGAGAGAACAGTGTGACTGCAGATTTGGAGACAAATTATCCTCCAAAAATAATAGGTAATCTAAATTATCAGTCAGTAGGTTTGGCTTATACTGCGATCCTGTTGCATACCAAAAGTCAACTAAAACTGAAGCACTTCTGTGAAGGGGCATGTGCTCCAACTTGTTTGAAATAACAAAAGTCCCAACTGACTAGTTACATAAAACAACTTTTCAAACTCAGCAGACCGGCAGGCTAGGACAAATGTCATTGTTTACAGAACTGTGAGTGTGTTTTTGAGTTGCTGTTAAGAAGTCTGATAAATGTACATGCTGGGCGATTGCAGAAGTAGGAGAAAATATTTACCTTCCAAGACATATCGATGTGTTTTGGTTGGCTAGTGCTGATGGTGTAACTTCTCCCTTCTTTACAGTTCGGTGGGGTTTTGTGGACTGGAAGGAGGTTTTACATCACGGCTGCTACATTCACCATTATTCCTGGGAATTCTGTGGCGATACTACTGGACCTCTGTTAACTGAAGCAAGTCTGAAGTCTGTGATTCTATCTGGGAGGAAAATGGGGTCAGGCAATGCTGATCCCTCCACCAGTTTAGGTTACACCCTAAACCCTTCACTATGCAATCCCTCTGCTGCTTTTTCAGATGTTTGTTGGTTTCTTCCCTTCCTTTCTCTTTTTCATGTCTACTCTAGCAAATTGTTTTTTCAGCTTCACCTCCCTCTTGTAGCGTAAATTTGGGGTTTTACTCATAATGTTGATTATTTAACATGCTGCAGTTTGCACCTTTGTCCTCCCAACTCAGACGCTGCAGTAGTAAGGACGCTAAGCGTGTCAGTAAAGCAACAATGTGAACGGCGCGTACGTACATTAATAACTCTAATTTGGAAGTCAAACCGAACCACGCAATTATGATCAGGCACAGCAGAGAAGCAAATCGTTTAATTACACATTCTGTGTTGCGGTAGCCCATGTGTATTCATTCAAACTCACACATATTCCCTTCCTCTATTTGGCTGTTTAACCACCATACAACCTGGCTATTGGTGTCTGGAGTATTCTTTTTCTATAGTTGACTTCTTAGAAAAACAAACCTGTGTCTGCACTGATGGGTTACTACGGAGTAATTGATAACTACTGTATAGCGATGTTGTAATAGTGACCTGAGCCTGCATCTTCTAGTGGCTCTGCATTTCTACTCCATCTAACAAACCTCCTAGAAATACCTATTATTTATAAATTTTTTTTGGACATTAAAATGGGGCTATTTGATAACCTCTTTTGTGACCCTTCTATCGTCTGTTATTCGCTTACAACAAACTATGGCACGCAGGCCTTTTAGGCCCGCTGGTCCTCAGGCCTACTACTGATCTACCACCTGTGCTGCGTAAAAATCATGTTTCTGTGGATGTCCATCCGCTCGTACCTCCTTCTGCACAAGGAAGGTGCGCTTTATATAGAGAGTTGTAGAATGGCATCCTTCCCCCCCTTTAGATCCTTCTTCTGGTATATCCAAGAAATTTGAAAATTTTCATCATTAATGCATTGCTGCTTTGTGCTTTATTCATTTATTTCTTCCTCTTATACTCAGCCGGTGCCTCTAGACTACTCTGGAAATTCTTCAGGATGAGGTGGTTTTGGTTTTGTTTGTAAACCACTGATGGCACTTTCTAATAAAAATACAAGATAGCAAGCAGTAATGGAGGTGTCTCACAGGCACTCCCGGGTTAGGAGGCTCTTCTCAAACAGCACATACGTTCCACCTTTTCTTTAAAAGCAGACAGCCAGTAAATATAAAATCTTATTCAAAGTTCATTATGTACTTTGAGATTTTCATGTAACTTTTGTGGTTTCTTTTTTTACATTAAGAGATATTTGCATGTGAATAATGGGAGAGACTGCCTTAGACTTCCACTGTTGAGCACTATCTTCACAACAGCAGCGAAGTCTACCCAGACAGCAGACAGAGCATCAAATTCCTGAGGGGACTGAGCAGGATGGATAGCAAGAATTTTTTCCTGGAATTGGCTGTATTGTGATTGTAAATATAATGCTGCACATATAAACTTGATAGCTGGTGATCACAGAATGTTTGACTGATACTGAAGATTTGCTGAGGATTACCAATAAGGAGATCTGAAGGTCTGCAGCTGTTTTACATGCCATACCAGGTCAGCTAGTAAATATCTATAAATGTATACAGGTGGCCGTTACATTGGGGGATTCACCAGTGAACAAGGTAACTGTTTAATGACGGCCTGGCAAGGTAGACCTTCTGTAGTGAATAATCCTTCAGAGACACTACAGGTGTGAAGGAGCGTGGCTGCCTTGGCTGCAATTAAAGACAAGACAGCTCTACTTCATCACATTAAGCTCGTAACACAGCACGCCCTCTGTCCAGCCTTGCACACCGTACGCAGGTTCTATGCTTTAGTTGAAGCGAATGGCATATGGATGATTATTGCTGTCTTCAGCTCCCCATTTTACTGAAAACCCATATTCTCTGAGTGTTCATCTGTTTATTTGGGATGGGATCTGTGTTTCAGACCATTTTAGTGCAAACAAGGAAACAAAAAGTCTAACAAGTAAGCTGCCTAGAAGACTGAGTGAAAGAGGGGTTACACAACATAGTCCCTCTGCTGGGACTACTGCCACCTCCAGAAATTCCTCAGAGGGAAAACAGGTACTCTTCTGGTGAAGCACTTACAAGACAAAACTTCTGAAACTCTTTTTCAAGTAGCTTGGCTAGAAAACGCTCTCTCCTACAATGATTTTCATGGGAAAGAGGTAATGGTGGGGGAAAAGCGAATGTCCAAATATGGAATTAACTGCAAAAGCGTACAACCAGAGAAAGCTACTGCTAGTTGCAAAACTGTAGCCTCTACAGCATAATCTATCTGAATTTATCTCACCAGCATATTAAGAAAAGCAGATGCAGATGCGTTACATTATCTTAATGGTGTACAACTTTAAAATAATAATAAAAAGTCCCAACCATACTGATAGCTGTTGGCAGCAGTTTCTAGGAAGGGTGCGTATATTCCTGCATCAACCTAGGAATTAGAATCTGAATATAAATTTTTAAAGCTGGAGAACTACTGCATAAATTTTAAAAAAAGATTTCAAATTATTAGTACTGATATTAAGGGTTTTTTTTAATTCTGATATAACCTTTAATATATATAGCTAAGGGGTTATATCGGTGTTCATTACACACTCCTTCCTATTTGTTGACTTACAATCTAGAGACCTCTGTTGTTCAACAGCTTTAAATTTTTGTGGTTATTGTTCTTAGAATATGGCAAGTGTAGTTTAGATCGTGCAGATAATTTAAGACAGTTTGGATTGTACTTTGCATGTTCGAGGACTTGTGTCCACCTTTCCTGTTGAATAAAGAAATGTCCTGTTCTGAAATCCTCCTGCAGACATCTCGGTGCATCTGCTTGCTCCGGGAAGTATTCCTTGTTGTTCTTGTCATCCGCTGTCTGTGAGATGCAGAATTAGCCTTTCAGTTACTTATGATGATAAAATCTTCTGAATTTCACACTCACCAGCTGGTTTTAAGATTTTTTCCCATAAGTATTTATTTTCTGAGTGTGATGGTTTGACCTTGGCTGGACACCAGGTGCCACCAAGCTGTATTGTAAGGTTAAAGTACTGCGTCAGTGTGCTGGGTTGACCTTGGCTGGATGCCACATGCCCACCAAGCTGCTCTATAACCCCCTTCTTCAACAGGACAGGCGGGGAGAAAATGAGATGGAAAAGAAAACTCGTGGGTTAAGATAATGGTGGTTTAATAAAAAAAGCAAAAGCCGCGCACAGTAGCAAAAGGAAAACAAGATTTTATTCTCTACTTCCCACTAGCAGGTGATGTCCAGCCACTTCCTGGGAAGCAGGGCTTCAGTATGCATAGCTGTTGCTCCAGAAGAAAAACCGTCATAAATGATTAATGCCCCCTGCTTCTTCCTCCTTTTCCCTTAGCTTTCACCTCTGAGCCAACACCATATGATATGGAATATCCCTTTGGTCAGTTTGGGTCAGGTGTCTTGGCTATGTCCCCTCCCAAGATCTTGCCCCCTCCCAGCGCACTGGTGCTGGTGGGAGAACGTTGGAGACACAGCCTTGGTGCTGTGCGAGCATGGCTCAGCAGTAGCCAAAACACTGGTGTGTTACCAACACCTTTCTACACACTGACAGAAAGCACAGCGCTATGCAGCTCAACCCAATACACTAAGTAACTGTGTCTCTCGAAGCATCTTTAGATAAATATTAAAGAAATACGTAGCTACACCATGTAGAAATGCAGGAGGAAAAGGGAAACTCCAGAGGTAACCTAGACCACGGTATACCCAGATGTGCCTTCTCAAACCTCGTCTTAAAAAGTTCAGTGATAGCAATTACATAACCTCCTGAGATACCTTGGCTACCTAAAATACCTGAGATAGCAAGGCTACCTGAAACCAGGAAACCCGTAGCTGCAAACTAAGCCCATTATCTTCTGTCTTCTCTTGCTGACACGCATCTTTTTTTAACAAAAGATGTACACATCTGTAGGCTGTTGTCATGCTCCTCATAGTCATCTTTCCCAGACTAATGATTCTCTCAACCTCCTCCTTATGTCACTGTAAAAAACCTCCTATTTTTTTTTTCTGTTGCTGTTCTCCGGACCCTTTCACATATGATGAAGCCTATTTTAAAGACACTATTTTAGCTTAAACCAGTATGTACTTTACAGAATAGAGACTGCTTACCATCTGCCTTTTATTCCTGTAATATCTACTGCTGTATCTACAAAGACAGATGCATGTGTCCAACTTCAGAGGTAGATTTATTTCAGCGGAGTTACCAGTGGTAAAATTAAGCATATACACAAATCTTAACTGGATTGCAGCCTCAAACGTATAAATGTAGAAAAATAACCAGAAGGAAAACAAAGGCAAGTAACTCTGAAGCTCACTAGACTTACTCTTCTAGCAGTTTATTCATAACTAAGTGGAGGAAATTTGGCTCTTCCGTGAGACTTTCCTCTGTCCGCAAGTTTTACCTGAGCTTGTGATTCAGTTAAAGCACCAAGGTGTTTTCTTCCACACGATTTCTGAAACTAATGATCAATATTTTACAGATTATCACTAACACCTTCAGAATTGCACAGAAATAGGTATGAAGACAGCACAAACGCTTTTGAAATTGTGCAAAACAAATGGATATGCAGGTTGGAGCTCAAGTTCTTTCTGTGTGATTATAGATCTATGCAGCCAAACTGAGGAAAAACTGTGGTGGAACACTATACAGTTACAGTGCACTGGTTATCTTCTACAAAAGTTAACACAAGCTGCTTATGGAGTATATCCTGTCCAAAAGATAAATCATTCTGCAACACAAATGACACCCCTGCATATTGTAAATCAGAGGAACTGTTTGTAAGGTTACTGTGTAAAACCATTACTATTTGTATGTGGATGCAGAAATGTTTTCCGTATATGTTACAGGAGGATGAATGGTACTAAGAGAACTTCTTGCAGAAAATACAGTATTTTCTAGCATATGGGAATGAATTAATGCCACAGCAAAAATAGCCCTAACCCCACCTTTTTAATGAAGGAGAAAGATGGGATAATCCTTATGTGAGCTTTTTTGCCAAACCAACGGGGGAAAAGAGGGGAAAAACAAAACTTTGGCTGCATGCTTAATGGGTAAATTTATCTGATTTGAATTATACAAAATAATAGGTTCGCTCTATTCGAGTCTCATCCCAGACCCACCCCCCTTTTCCAGCCCTAGGGGAGGGAGCGTTAAATAATGGTCTGTGTAAACTGATGCTCATGCAGTAAGAGTTTGGAGAAGTGCTGCTTGTACAAGTAAAAGCAGGCAGCGAAGAAAGAGCAACCGAGTAAAAAGCAGCAGCGGGAGCAAAGTGGACCCTTCTGAAATTCAGAGACATGTCTTTCCTCACGAGAGTTTTGACAATGAAAGGCAAGCAGAGGCTTGAAGCCGAGGGGACTTACTTTTACCACGCGATTTTCGCCAGCGGGTTCCACCAACTGCCCAAACTTTCCAGCAGCCCCCCTCTGGAGGTGCAGGGTGGCTCCCCGGCCGCGGCGGAGAACAAAGGCGAGGAGACGGGGGCAGGCGCCGGGGAGCTGCTGGCGCCCACCCCGCGCCGGCTGGGCCGGGTGAAGAGCCTGCAGGAAATGCCCGGACCCAACACCCTCTACAACCTCTACGAGTTCTTCTGGAAGGACGGCTTCGGCCGCATCCACGAAATCCAGGTACAGCCGCCTCGCTATTTAATCG